AAAAGGTGTTGGTTGTTGACGGGAATGGGGGGGGGGTGATTGGAATGAAGAAGAAAAGAATTACTCTGTTTAAATTTCTTCTAATCAAAACAAAATACTCGTTTTTCGTAAAATAGTATATTTTCGGACGTTTGTCAGTTCTTACTTACCCTTTTTTTAGTACAGAAAGATCAATATTTATGACACAAGAGTACAAAAATAAAAGAAAACGTCATATTTCTCGTTTATTTTATCATAAAGGTATACTTTTTTTCATTGTTAAAAACAGAGATGAATCATTTCGTTCAAAAAACATGAATTACAACATTTTCACACAAAAACTTTGTAAGATATTACCTGTTACGCATCTCGGAATGTAAAAAATACGACAAGAAAAACGGGGTATTCCTAACATTGTGCTCCATTATAATTTTTCATACGAGATGAATCACAACTAATTTGCCTTCAATGTAAAGAGACAAGTCATATGAATTAAATACCTGTTGATTTTGAATGTTATTTGACATTTTTGGTTCTTTTTAGAGCATTTTTGGGGTAGAACAATAATGTTAGAAAATAATCCAGTTTTAGCATTTCACCCAGTTTTTGCACGTGCTCCTGTGTAAAAATAAGCATATAAAGATATTGTTTTTAATACCTAAAAATTAAGAGCATGTGGTCAGGAAAGAAATGTCAAAGTTTTGAAAATTTCACACAAAGACTTTTTGGACATAGGTCCCCCTTTAAATTTGCACGTGTAGATTTTTTCATTACGTATTTGCTAACCAACTGTGAAATCACTATTTCTCGCGAGGTATTTTTTTCGTGGTTTATAAGGTATGAAAAAAAGACACACGGATAAATGTCCATCAAAATATCAATTTTACAAATATATTGCTACTGAACAATTCTTTAACCACGAAATCAAGTCCCCACAAACGAATATATTTTCCTCAAACCTCGAAAATATGTGATTTTACAATATTATAAAGACGATATCATGACGCTTTATATTTAATCTAAACATTACACCCGACTTGTTTAGTGAAGGATTTAAGATTACACCTGACTTGTTTAGTGAAGGCTTGAAGATTACACGCTACTTGTTAACTGAAATCTTTAAGATTACACCTGACTTGTTTTGTGAAGGCTTAACGATTACACCCGACTTGTTTACTGAAAGCTTTAAGATTAGACCTGACTTGTTTTTGAAGGCTTTAAGTTTACACTCGATTTGTTTTTGAAGGCTTCAAGATTACATTCGATTTGTTTACTGAAGGCTTTAAGATTACACCCGATCTGTTTACTAACAGCTTTAAAATTACACCCGATTTAATTACTGAAAGCTTTAAAATTACACCCGACTTGGTTATTGAAGACTTCAAGATTACACCTGACTAGTTAACTGAATACTTTAAGATTGCACCTGACATGCTTTACTAAAAGCTTAAAGATTTCACCCAATTGCTTATTGAAGTCATTAAGATTACATTTACTGAAGATTTCACTCGATCTGTTTAGTGAATGCTTAAAGATTACACCCGACTTGTTTACTGAAAGCTTTTAGATTACACTTGACTTGTTAATTAAAGGCTTTAAGATTACACCCGATTTGTTTACTGAAGACTTTAAGATCACACCTGATTTGTTTATGGAAGACTTTAAGATCACACCGGATTTGTTTATTGAAGGCTTTAAGATTACACCTGACTTGTTTATTGAAGACTTTAACATTACTTTCTACTTGTTTTGTTAAGGCATTAAGATAACACCTGATTTATTTACTAAAGGCTTCAAGATTACAGCCGACTTGTGAATTGAAGGCTTTATGATAACACCTGACTTGTTTATTGAAGGCTCGAAGATTACACACGATTTGTTTACTGAAGGCTTTAAAATTACATCCGACTTGTTAACTGAAGGCTTTAATATTACATCCGACTTGTTTACTGTAGGGTTTAACATAACGCCCGACTTGTTTACTGAAGGATTTAAAATTACACCCGACTTGTTTACTGAAGGTTTTAACATTACACCTGGCTTGTTTACTGAAGGCTTTAATATTACACTTGACTTGTTTACTAAGAGCTTTAAGATAACACCTGACTTGATTATTGAAGGTTTTAATATTACACCCTACTTTTTTACTTAAGGCTTTAAGATTACACCCAACTCCTGAAGGCTTTAAGGTCACACACAATTTGTTTTGTTTAGGCTTTAAGATTACACCTGATTTATTTACTTTAGGCCTCAAGATTACAGCCGACCTGTTAATTGGAGGCTTTAAGATTACACCTGACTTGTTTACTGAAGGCTTTAAGATCACATCCGACTTGTTAACTGAAGGCTTTAACATTACACCCAAATTGTTTAGTGAAGGTTTAAAGATTACATCGGACTTGTTAACTGAAGGCTTTAACATTACACCCAACTTTTTTAGTGAAGGTTTTAAGATTACATTCGACTTCTTAACTGAAGGCTTTAAGATTACAATCGACTTGTTTACTGAAGGCTATAAGATTACACCCGACTTGTTTAGTAAAGGCCTTAACATTACACCTGACTTGTTTACTGAAGAGTTTAACATTACACCTGACTTGTTTACTGAGAGCTTTAAGATTACGCTCGACTTGTTTACTGAAGAGTTTAACATTACAACTGACTTGTTTAGTGAAGACTTTAACATTACACCTGACTTGTTTACTGAGAGCTTTAAGATTACACCCGACTTGTTTACTGAAGGCTTTAAGATAAGACACGATTTGTTTACTGAAGGCTTTAAGGTTACACCCGACTTGTTTACTGAAGGTTATATCATTACACCTGACTTGTTTAGTGAGGACTTTAACATTACCCATGACTTGTTTACTGAGAGCTTTAAGATTACACCCGACTTTTTTACTGAAGGCTTTAATATTACACATGACTTTCTTTACTGAAGTCTTTAAGATTACACCCGACTTGTTTACTGAATCCTTTAAGATTACACCTGACTTGTTTACTGAATCCTTTAAGATTACACCTGACTTGTTTACTGAATCCTTTAAGACTACACCTGACTTGTTTACTGAAGGTTTTTACATTACACCCGATTTGTTTCTTTGTTTCTATCTGCATATTAAGCATTATTTCTACAAGCCCAAGGACCACTTGCCTTTTAAAGATAAAATAATGAGTGTGCGATTCATGTTCAACATTAGCTATTCACCATTTTTGTTTTAACTTTATGTCAATAAAATTAGACATCATATATATACACAGTAGATAATACAAACAGGATTCGGAAACACGTTTTACAACTCATATTAATCCCTTTCTTAAAACAATTCACCAATCTGGGTCTCATTCATGGGCGTCTGAAGAAAATTGAAAGTAGGGGGAAGCTAATCGAAAGTGAGTGTGTGTTGGGAGGGGGGAGGGCAAATCAACAAAAAAGGTAAATCCAAATTTCTACTGTCTATATAATGGTTAAGGCCCCCTCTCTCCGGTCTCGACGCCTATGTCGTTTTAACAACGTATTACGATTCTTTATTTTGAACATCTATCGTATGTATTTTTTTATTTTTTAAAAAAAGTTTTAACGCGCTTAAAAGCATTCTTATAGAATTCTCTTATAATTGTATTTAACAAATGAACGTGTCTCTAAGATTCAAAAGTAAGTAAACCAATAATGATATATTGTGATACATTTAGAGGCTAATGTATCAAAGTTGAAATAAATCAATAAATTCTTAATAATGTCTTAGAGTCAGATAATTTTTACTTTGAATTTTACTAAATTTCTGATTTCTAATTTCATTCAGTTTGAGTTGATAGCTAATAAAAACACTGTACAATATCATAACATAACAGGCACTAACTAAATTAAAAATGAAACACCTTTCATTGTTACATTTTAAATTGCAATTTCAAAATAAACGTTTATGACAATTCATGAGAATTCATATGAACTTCAATGAAATCGATACTTAAACAATAATGAAATATAGAATACGCAGTTAGCCAATCACTTTTCAGACATTGATTATGGTACGATATATATATATATATATCTGGCTGTTGAAAGACCATTTAGCAGAATTTCACAGATTAGCAAGAACGCGGCAGGTTTTTTTTCGCAACAAAAAAAAATATGAGCAATCAGTGGGTTATCACTTTAATTGTAGGCTTCTTAGCTTTATCTACAGCTACCTTTATTTCTAAGAAATATACAGCGAAACTCGAATTTAATGATAAGAAGTCAAACTATGAACTTTTCGGGGAACACAATGCTCATTCCTTGATCGAGTGCGCCACAATCTGTCAAAGGCAGTGCGTGTTTTTTGGATTTAATCCTAAAATGAAAAAATGCCGTACCCACAAGAAAAGTCTAACGTCTGGTACCTCTGAGGAGGCCGGCTGGAGATACTACTCAGATAACGGTGTGTATATTTGGGTTTTTTTATTCTCTTAGCTTCTTTGATTTTTTAGGTCCTTCTCGAGGGGACAGGAATTTTTTTTTATCAAGTTTCTTGTATTTTTTTTTTTTAGATTTTTCTAGCATGCCCAAAGATTGCAAAGATCTTCGAGAAAATGGACAAACCATCACAGGGGTGTATGATATATACCCCTACAGAACATTAACCATTCTAATAAATGTCTACTGTGATATGACCACAATGGGCGGTGGATGGACGGTAGGTCGTTTATTTTATAATTAAAAGTACTTAATATAACACACCTTGTTTTGATGGTTTTAAGGATTGTAGGATTGCATTGTAGTTTATATCATAAAAAATGCATCCTACGAATGTTCGAAGCAATAAATTGAAATGTAATGTATGTTAATTTTTACAGGCAATTCAGAAACGCGTAGACGGGTCCGTGAGATTTAACAGGACCTGGACGGAATATAAAAATGGCTTTGGTTCACCAGAACAGAATGTCTGGATTGGTAAGTGTAAATCAGTTTCAAATAAGAACTTTTTAGTCCTTCAAAGTTTTAATATAAAAAAAATTCTTGTGGCAAGTAAAAAATTATAATGCGTAATAAAGATCTAAAGTTAAGACCAGGTAATGTGTGTTCTGTGATATTCAGATATCGTGTTTAATTGATATTTCAAATAATAATGAAAAATAGAAAAGAAGAATATCATTTAGCGGCATATTCTAATTAGACCAAATTTAGCAATATTGTCTACAGCTATGGAAAATAATCTGATTTTTCATTACGGTAGATTCATATAGATTTTAAAAGAATTAATTGTATTCGATGAACTTTTCAGATGATTTCAAATATATCTTAATACAGGAAATGACGTAATCCATAAATTAACGAAAGAAAACACCTCATCCCTTTATGTATCCATCACTCTCCTGAATGGTACAACGCTCTATGAAATGTACGACCGATTCTCTGTGTCCGACGAAGCAGGGAAATATCAACTCTTTCTTGCAGGACCTGCTACGGGGACTTTAGGTAAGTGTGTTCATGTTAAGTTCCTAAAATTAGGTTCAAATTACGTATAGCATCATAATTATTCTTTTCTGTATTGGCGGGTTATAAAGTTGATGAAAAAAGAGAAAGATGCGTTTTTTCCCGATATTCTGTTTACGTTTTTGATTCCACGCTAACAAAACATGTTTAATATTTAAGAATATCACTTGCAGGTACCATTCACATATTCAGCAGATATTGAATTTGTTATTGTCAAGTAGATAAAATTTCTAATTATACACTTTATGCACAAGGAAAATTATGTAATTTTTTTAAACAAATAAAGCCAATAATTACATTTGTTCAACATTGTTATTCAGCTTGGGTTTCCTGATTTTTTATAATTCACATTTTAACTGATACGGAAAAAGTTTACAGAGCATGTTAGTCTGATTTCCAATGATTCACATTTTTTATTACTACGGAATAGGAAGTTTACAGTGCGTCATTAATCTTAAATGTCGAAAGGTTTACGAAAATTTGATGATAAAAAAAAATTGATCGGATAAATATTCAAATTAAAAAAGCTTAAAAGTCAATTTCAAAAGACCTCACGCCTTTCACATTTACATTTATGTAATAGGAAATCTACCATTTTATAACATTCACAGATGCACCATATTTTATCTCGTTATTAATGATTTACTCAGTATTGCATGTTATACCTGTTTAAAGACACGGTCTCGGAAAAATATTAATATTTCATTTTGTGATGCTTTCTTAAATTTCTAGTGACCTTTATCCCCCCCCCCCAATAATACCATGCTTAAAAAGTGTCTGTTGTTTATTGCTACACTAGAAAGGATGCTATGTGAATTTCACAGATTTTTTGTCTTGTATTATTTTTATCTCTCTTTACAAGAAACAACTCTTTAAACTGTGTATATCAGACGTACTTCAGTATTATGATTAATTAGATGTTAATTAATAATTATTATCTCTGTTATCTATTTTCTCTAATTATGCAGATGCCAGTATGATATACACCAGGGATTCTACGGCTGAACTAAATAAATATTATCGCTCTACCCAGCACCTAAAGTCGTCTATCTTAGAAGTACCTCAGTATTTTTATTGACAATTAGATTGAAAATATTTAAATCAATTAACTCTGTAATTCCGTTTGTTTGATTTTACTGGGGACAGTATGTTAGACACTGGTGAATTTTATAAATATATCGCTCTACCCAGCACCTAATACCGTCTATCTTAGAAGTACCTCAGTATTATCATTGACAATTAGATTAAAAATATATAAATCAATTAACTTTGTGATTCTTCTTGTTTGATTTTACAGGGGACAGTATGTTAAATACAGGTTTTATTATACCACGATCTGTCTGGGATATTCTTCTCCACCCAGACAGAGGTCACGACGAGTAAAGTGGATATAAATCTACTGATCTATTTTAAACAAGTGTCCATGTATCTTTTTCTTTTTTAATTCTACAGGAGACAGTATGTTGGACACTGGTTTTTCTTACAGAGATCTGTCTGGGATGTACTTCAGTACCCCAGACAGGGACAATGACAGGTTTAGTGATGGTCACTGTGCTGCTTACAGTGACCGTAGAGGAGGCTGGTGGTTCAACGCCTGTACCTACTCCAACCTTAACGGTCCCTGGTCCCCGGGGTCCTGGTCCTTTCCATGGAATCCCACAGTAAGGATTGGATCATCAGTGAAAGCGACTTCAATGATGATCAGACGTCACTAGGTAAACATCGTTACATCTTAATATGCATTTTTTTTTTCTTTTTGTATCACTCTGCAATTTTCAGTTATAAAAGTTGTTTTTTTTTTTTAATAAAAAAAAATATGTTATCATACATTTATCTGTGAAGTATTAATTTATTTTTTTATTTAACAGACGAATGATCATCCATGGATTACGGAAACCCCCAAGAGACGATTTTAAATTATTTTTTATCACTGAGTTATTTTTTTTTAATATCTAACATCAAGCAACAAAGAGTTAAAGAAGGGGGGTTGAACTGTTCTGTAAAGCGATACTGAATGTATTCGGTAAAAGTTGTACTTTATATGTGTTGTAATAAATTTGAAAATAGAAATATTTCGTTCTTTTTTCCAAACACTGATAAATGGAGATAACTGGACGGAGAATTAGGATGAAGATTACTTTATTGTTAAACCTATTACAGTGGAACCTGTTTAATCCGACCCATGCAATACTCTTTACTGTGATTTCAGCCATTTAATTTCATTTGTTATTTATAATTATCTCAATGATCTTTACACGCTGCAATACTACATCTTGTTTATTCCAACACATATATTTTTAATCTGTTCCCCGTGCATGTCGGATAAAACAAGTTTCATTGTAATAAAGATGTTCAGATTTCGATTTTTTTTTAAATCGACTGTAATTTTTTATTGTATTTTTTTTTTTTATTTCAAAACATTAATAAAAGAGCTTTCTGCTTTTGAATGCACAAAATACGTAATTTTTTACTGTGTAACAACACATCGGGGATTAAAAGGTTACATTTGTAATACGCGTTTTATTTTGACGTCACAAATCTTAAAAGCAAAATTTGAGATCATTTAAATTCATTATTTAGGCTAGAGATAATTTAAGTAAGTTTGAAAAAAATCAAATTTGCAAAACAAGACAAGGAGTTAGAAGAAAAAAATGAGCACCGATTCATTATTTTTTGAAAGATGTTATCTTATATTTGCAACTGCTTTTGCAAATAAAAAGCAAGCTAACATTAATCAATATGTTTGCTAAAACTTTTGTAATTATGAGACTACATCTTTGAAAAATGATTCAATATGTGTGACAAGTCATTTTCCTTTATGCAATGTGTATACGATGGTTTATATACTAGTATATCCAAATATTTGATAGACTACAACTTGAAATTTGTTATTAAATCAATAGGAAAAGTTTTAGGAGCTAATGATAAAAATTCAAGAAAAGTTTGTGAAACAAAGAGGCTTATGATAAATGTTGTCGTTTGCAGGTCAAACACCAAGGTCAATATAAAGGTAGTTTTGGTACCAAAAGAAACGTTCCTCACAATCAGTCTACCTTCTAAAATAAAAACCATATAAGCAGCAACAGTTCAGTAATTATGACCAAAGTTAGAGATTTTCAAAAGTAGGTCAAACTGGACAAGGTCAAGGAGTCAATATAAATAATACCCAAAGGAATTTTACAAAGAATACGTGGGTGAAATATAAAAGTCACGGAGTCAACCATTCAAAAGTTATCACCAAAGTTTTTTTTAAGAAGAAAATATTGGTATTCAAGAGAAGCTCTTACCACGATAAATGAACCCGTAAAATAGTTAACCCCTAGCACAAAATATTCAGTAAATACGACCAAAGTTTACGTTTTTGAAAAGTAGGTCAAATCCATAAGATCAAGGTTAAAGGTCATTACTGTTTGTACTCAAGAGAAGGTCTTATCAAAATATGATCGTGAGGAGTATGATATCACTTGATTCAACTGTGTAATAGCTACGATAAGATTAAAATTTTGAAAATTTTTCTAAAAGTGAGTCAAATATAAAGATCAAAATCAAAAATACTTTTACACGTGGAATACACCAGTGAAATATTAAAGCCATACTTCATATGACAAAGGCTCAAATTTCAAATTCGAAATTGACAGTCAAAATAAAGAAAAAATCTGTGAAATATGAAATTCATATCTCAAACCGATTAAAGGCTGTATTCAGGGCTAATTGATTTCCCCACTTACAGATAAATCAGGAAAAAAAATAACAAACAGACAACTGGACCGACCGTCCTAGGAAAATATATTTGCTCCTTATTTTTTGGATTACGGATAGAAATTTTAAAAACAACACTTTGAGCTAAAATGTTTGTATGTATGGTTAGAGGAGATCCCAGTCAGTTTCCTTGGGGAAATAACGAAACATATAATGCACTGTCTGTCTTTGTGTACATGCTATTCATAGTTTATTTAAAACATGTAGATAAATCTAGATCTCTTCCGAGGATACGAATATACAATCCGAGGATAAATCTAGTTCTCTTGCGAGGAGATTTGAATATACGTTAATTATTAAGAATACTCCATTTAATGATTTAGAAATTTATACACCATGCTTAATGAAATTATATAACAAATGATAATGGTTGCAAATGTTTATTTTAATTTAAAGAGAATGAATCATTATGTAACAGAACACTCTTCATGCTCCAAATGCCCCGTGGGGATCCGGAAAAGGACAAGAAAACAATTATATCATCTTCAAATTTGAAGTACCCCCTTGCTTGTCGTAAAAGGCGACTAAATGGGGCGGTCCAAATTCAGTAGACATGTATAAAAGTATTCCCCGTGTCACAGCAGGTGTGGCAGAATATAAAGATCCCTCCCTGCTCAAAGGCCCTGAGTGCCGAAATAGGCCTAAATTTTTTGCAGAAATTCACCGGCAATGGTGAAGTTTAATATCGGTGAAATATTAACTTTTTGGAAAGGTGACGTATAAACAGCATACAATCAATCAATCATGCTCCAAATAAGATGGAAAATCCTCACAAATAAAGGGAAGTTTTAGTCCGTCTTCTCCTGTAAAGTACGTGTAGTTCCTCTCAGTCACCCAGCGCCACCTGCCGTCGAAAGATAAGTCAAAAGGAGGCCAAAGATGGGGTCAACTGCTGTTTCGCCCTCATCGTTAAGATTCGTATGGGGTTTTTCTTCTTCTTTGGGGGATGGGTGGGGTGGGGGAGGGGGGATGGAGGGTTCAATTTAAAATAACATATTCTAGTGTTTAACTTGATATTTAGAGTATGTTGAGGGTATTTAGATATTACGATTCATCAATATTTAGATTATACAAATCCATCAACACTTATAATGGTACGTTTTACATAATGGTTATATGACCTTAGATTTACAGCGCAATTACATGCCTAGATCCTCCCCTGTTCTCTTACAATCAATATAGTTGGTGAGTACTTTTTCTTTCTCCTCTGAGTCTATAACGATCATGTGAACCCCCTGCTGGTGACAGAATTCACTGGAATTCAACATGGACGTCGGTTCCTTGTGGAAAGAGAAACACCAACCACTCACATTGACAAATCCCGGGGAGCATCTCAAAACCTCTGATCCGGAAATCCCAGAGGACCATTTCAAAGGTTCCGAATTAATGGCGATCAAAACTGTCAAACGATATAAATAATACAAGGGTATATTCGTCATCTAACAGATTATGCTTTAATCTTTAAGATGTTCCCACTCTTACAATTTCATGTTTTCAAATTAAAAAAAGTTTCATGTACTTCAATGCACATAAACAAGTCACTGAAATATGCTAAAATGTCAATGATAACGGTTAAGGAGTGAAGTTTCATTTATATAATGCACTACATGTATAACGTAGATATACCTTACGGTTAAAAAATGTTATATAGTAAAACATGGGTTAAAATAAGATTCATTCCTTATATTTTTATTTCGGTGTAGACGATAAGACAATTTTTCTTACCAAAAATGGCTTAAAACTGAGCATATTCTAAAAGAAACGTCAAGAGGAGTAATATCGTCATATTTCCTTCAGAAAAAAACCTATTACCAATTTTCAAATAATTTAAAAGTAAATAACCTCTCCCCTTTTTTGTTTTAACCTTTTCATTATTACAAAGGTGATTTTTAATATGTTTTACCTGTAACAGTCCAACTCAACAGGAATGTTGCTACAATCGGAAGGTCTCTTGACATTAGTTTGAAATGAATACATTGGGTATTTCTTTAACCGTAAATAAATAATTAAATCCAGGAAACAATTTCAGCAACTCTCTTTGAAAGTAGAAATAATAGCAGAGCCATTTTTTTGTAAACATGATAATTTGTCAATGTGTCATATAGAGAGGAAAAGTAAAGGTTTTGTTCTAGTTTTGACTTTTTTTAATTTATAGGCATATATGTATTTTTGAGTTCGCAAATAGTGCGTATGAATTCTTTTGACTGAAATTTATTTTAGATATCCGATTTGAATAACTGATAGTTTTACTGAAATCAAAACAGCAAATTATCTTAAAAATAAAGTTATGAAAAACTCTTGAAGTAAAACCTGACGAGATAAATCATGAAGAGTTATTCCTCTTGTCTCATAAAAGCTTTTTACCTTTTGTTACATGAAATTAGACACGAGTAACATCTTTTTAAAAAGTTTGCCAGTCTACATCAATCAATATCTGCGCGAGAAGGGATACACATTTGGAGCAATAGCTTTGTTGGTTTAAAATATGTACTAACGATCTATTTTGAAAACCTTGTATAAATGAAAATCTCATTGTATTTAACTTGTAGAAAAAAATCATTTCTACACTGCATACTAAATAGTTGTTATTCTCTTGGTGTTTTCTTCAGGTGGAGCGGTCTGCCCTTGGATCTAAATTAATTTCAAGCTGCATTGCAACACCTATTAGAAAATCTGTTATCAAATCATGAATTATAAACATTTTAAAAGATAGATATAATTTGATACACATTTTGCTAGATTGTATTTTCTCCACTGAGGTAAACAGTAGTAATGTGTGTTCATCAATATTTTTGAGTTAAATTAAATAAAGAAAGTGGCATCTGGGTAAGATTTCTTTATTATTTGCACAAAAATGAAATACTTATTAGAATTTTAGTACATATTTAATCTATTAAAACCTAAAAAAGCAAATCATAATGCTCGGGGGTCATCAGAATGATGCGATATTGAACACGTTCAGCTTAAAAATATGAGGAAATGTTTTAGATATATAATAAAGGAATTATTGAACTTATATTGGTGAATATTGGCAGAAACTGGCTGTTAGAATGCACGAGTTTATACTTGAATACATATATGGTATGTATGGCTGGGCTTTTATACTTTGATTTTTGTAGGACCTGTTGTAAAGATAAAGATGTTTATTTATTTATTG